TTTTCGAGTTATCTAAAGGTTGTAAGCTGTGCTTTAATTTACATTATCATGAAAAGCTGTAACAGTCTATTAAGCACTAAATGTGCTATTCTTATAGCTAGTCTCTAAATGGTCTGCCTTAGATTAACAAATATTACTTCAGAGAACATACAATATGGGACTTTAATAGTACTCAGACAAGAGTACTATAAATCACAAGAATAGAGAAAGAGATCTAAAAATCTGCAGCCTAACTTAACCTCCTAGGGAGGTAAATATGAGTTTCTGAGAGGCTGATTAGAATATATTTACCTACTTTATACCCCCTGTTCAGTTCCTTATAGAACAGTATAATGGAAAAAGCAAGGATAGTATAAGGAATAAGAACTGTATGCTAACCTCAATTCTATCATTTACTGGCTTGGGCAAGTCTCTTAGGCTCATCTGATCTTTCGTTTCCTCATCTTCCCTGAAGATATTCAGTCAGTCTAAGTCGACAACCAGAATGAAATGAAACAATAAATATGAAAGTGCTTAAGAAAACCATTCAATGCTATTCAGTTGTTAGGAACTTTACTTCTTAAAGGATACTAGTATTTTCAATGAAAAAGTCAAAATAATTTATACTGTTTTCTGCTTTCATTATTGACCATAAATGAAACTCGGAAAAATGGCATGCATCTATCCTTGTTTAATACCTAAATATTTGGTTCTAAGTGAGGCAGCTGACTAAATCTGCCAAAAGTCAGCAATTTTAACAGAATGATCCTAAAAGTTAATATTATTCTGCTTTCTTTTGTTCCTATGATTGCAAGAAGACAGGTTATGAAATTTTCCAATTCACAGCAAACCAACCACATTCATTTACTTACTCAATACACAACATTAATGAATTGTCAAGGTAGCCACCTTTGAATAAACTAATTTCACAGAGTTCAAAGCTCACATTATACTTTAGTACACTTATGGAAAAAAAAAAAAAATCAAGCCAGTTCAAAACCTAAGTTAAATAACAGAAATGCAGCATGCTGCCTTTTACCCAAAACGTTCCACATCAACCTAATTACTGTGAGCATGAAGACTGAAGCATAAATAAGAAATCACTAAAACAAAGAAGTTTATTAGAAGAAAAAGAAAGGAAGAAGGAAGAAACTAGTTAGACAGCTGGCTAGCTCCAGGCAGAAAAGTGAGGTACTAGAATTATACAATGTTCTTCACAAGGAATGCAGTATATCAAAGTGAAATGCTGACTTTTATCAGAGACAATGATTAATAAAAACTGCAGGTAGAGTTCCTCCCCTTTCTAGATCAATACATGAGAAAATTCACTTAAATATTTTACACCGAAACCTGAAAGCCCAGAATTTTACACTACTCTTTACATTTCAAGATAAAATTTTAAACTATACTGATCTTGTAATTCTTTTTCCTTCTTCTCTTCTACTTCTTCCTCTAACTTCAATTAGAGGTTTTAAAAAAAATTACAGTCAACCTGGGAGCCAATATAAAGGGGGTCCACATGACCAAAGATGGTGTAATTTTAGAATTAAAAATAGGTATAAAATTGTTATTTCTCATACTGCAATGACTGAAAACTTCAATAATCCCCCAAGTCTATCAATTTATAAAGATGAAGATAAAAACTTATGAGTTGGGTGGCGCCCGTAGCTCAGTCGGTGCCAATCACATACACCCAGGCTGGTGGGTTAGAACCCCACTTGGGCCAGCTAAAGCAACAATGACAACTGCAACAAAAAAAATACCTGGGCGTTGTGGTGCGTACCTGTAGTCTGAGCTACTTGGGAGGCTGAGGCAGGAGAACTGCTTAAGCCCAAGAGTTCGAGGTTGGTATGGGCTGTGACACCACAGCACTCTACCCAGGGTGATAGCCTGAGACTCTGTCTCTAAAAACAAACAAAAAAACCCTACGAGCCATCTTGAGAGGTTGCCAGGGCATTAGCCCAATATTTTGAAATTAGAAAATAAAGAAAAGCAATCGTGCATCATTCTGACTCCTATACTTCCCTTCAGTTGATGAGGGGAAGTTATTTCTCTTTATAAAAAAGTTCCAGGTAACAACTGCAGCAGCATGGGGAAGCAAATGACAAAATCAAGGGTGTGAGAAATTCAACAGGACGAAGTTTCTTCCACAAAGAAGTGGGGGAAAAAATGATGAAGAAAAACCGCTTACAGATTAAAAGACAAATGCAATATATAAATCTCATTTGGATGAATTCAAACAAAACAACTATAAACAGACACTTATTTAATTAGGGAAACCAGAATTAATAAGGAATTATTCACTTAAACACATGATGATGATACCGTTAGGACATTTTTTAAAAAAGGAATCTTAGTAATACGTTCTAGAAAGTAGAATAAAATTTTCTCATGCTTCTACAATAAGTAACAGGGTGACATATCTAAACAAAAATGTTTTAAATTATAAGACAACAAACACTCAAACCTATCAAAATTAAAATACTTGCTTTTTTATAAAAAAGTGACTACAAACAGAACAAGCAAAGGGAGAGCTGGTTTTGTCAAAAAGTTACTGTGTTTCATCAAATATTTTGGGAACACAGATCAAGATCTACAGATACCTATGATTATATTGTTCTTATCTTAAAATCTCACAAGAAAATAATCTGGAATTAGTTCCAACCAATTCAAATGAGATAGAGAACTTATCTCTATTTTTGGATTTTATATTCTTAGTATATGAGATGAGTAAAATTATTTAAAAAATATGGAAACTGGGCTGTGCCTGTGGCTCAGTGGGTAGGGCACCATCCCGTATACTGAGGGTGGTGGGTTCGAACCAGGCCCTGGCCAAACTGCAACAAAAAGAATAGCCAGGCATTGTGGCGGGCACTTGTAGTCCCAGCTACTTGGGAGGTTGAGGCAAGAGAATCACCTAAGCCCAAGAACTGGAGGTTGCTGTGAGCTGTAATGCCACAGCACTCTACCAAGGGCAATAAAGTGAGACTCTGTCTCTAAAAAAAATTTAAAAAAAAAAATGAGAACTTCACTTTTACAGGATTTTATATATCTGTAGCCTAAGGATCTACTTTAAGGATATACATCAGAGAGCCAAGCTTGCATTAAGATTTAATCACAGAAAAGTGTAAATTACTTTCACAAATAGTACACAAAGAGCAAATTTATGAAATCATTTGAATTATTTTCAACCTGGTAGGCATCTACTAATTGTTAACATTACCAGCTGTAGTTGTACCATACTACAACTTAAAGCTAAGGGAAATTGGAAGATCACAAAAGAAAATAATACAATGACTAATTTCAGAAGTAAAGTATCAGATTTCAAGGTGAAGCTAACCTAAGAAGTTTAACAATGGGTACCAGTGTATCAGAGCATAATGTACAACTGCTAGCTCAAGTGGTGATTATTTCTGGTAATTTATTAGAATTCCTTTTCTAAGTATCTATTAGGCTGGTTTCCTTACAGTCTAAAGAAGGTTAGACAAGTATAGATTGCTGCTGAATTACAAAGGCATCTAAAAAGTCACTAATATCCAATTTCTAAGTAAGCTATGTGGAACAATATTTATTGCCATTCACATATGCTCTAAAGCACAACACAAGCTAACAGCAAAACAGAAATCTAACCTGAAACTTACCTATGAAAAGATGACAGGACATGACAAATATAATCTTAACAATAAAACACAAAACTATCATGGTAACTCTATTCTGGGGTTGGTTATGTTCCAAATTTTTGCATCTATTTCAAAGACATGTCTTATGTAGCATGTCTGAGTAGTAATTATTAAAAACCGTGTTCCTACGACTAACAACAGATTATTAGTGAAGGAAGTTTTTAACTAGGCTAAAAACTGGTAAATCTGCACATGCAGTGCTGCAAATCAGATCTTAAGGCTCCATCTGAATAAATTAATTGGTTATATATATTCAGTATCCTCAAGAAAGTAAAGGCCCAGAATTTAGGGCAAAGGACCAGAGTCTTTAAAAAAGACATCTAGCTCACTGTACAATAAATGATCATTACAATAGATACTTTTGTTCTGTTGACATTAGGCTTTAAGAAAAAATAGATATACCCCTTTAATTGGGAGGGGGGAGGGAAAACACAATCAAATAACTTATCTGTATACAAAAGCAACATCACTTTTAAAACTACAAATTGATTTAAATCTTTCCAAGCACATACAAGTCAGCAACAGAATCCCTCAGTTTCAGTTGTGGAAACTAGAATTATAAAAATTCAAAATCTAGTTTTAATGAAATGTATTTTCTTTGACAAGATAGGGATTCATAAACAGACTCTGATATCCAAAAACTCTGCAAAATGTAATACTGTCTACATGATAAGTACTTCCCAGAGAGGGGAAAAAAGGCAACCACCAATTCAATAATTTTGGGGTGGGGACAATTTTAACACACAGATACAAAGAAAACTTCTAAATACTCCACCTTCAGGGTACAAGCCTAAAACACATTTTTTAATTTAACATATTCAAAAGAGAAATATATGGCCCAAGCCCATCAACTTCTCTAACTCACAAACACACTAAACTCATACTCCCTGATGTAACTAGTAAAATAACTAAGTGTTCAAAGGCCAAAGCAAAAGCCATTGTACTAACCTAAGTTATTTAAGTTTGATAACTGACGTTTTTCTTATGGTGTGCAAAAATGTTTGATAGTGAAATTTCTTTCTCACTATCATGTATAAATAGCTGACTTTTCAGATGCTCTAAAACACACAAATCAAAAGCACAGACAAGAAAAAAAACACACCATTATATTTCATAAAAGAAACATAAGATACAATAGGGGGTCTTTACCTTAGTGTACATTAGACCCTCACTTTGAATTTTCAGGGAAGTAGACCTTTTTCAAAAGGCTAATATCTAAAAGCAAAAGCAATTTTGGCATGTTTTATCCAACATTAAATATTTTACATATATTATAAACACACACACAAACGCACATACATGTATACATACAAATAAAAAGGGTTTTGGTTTTTTTTTTACCTAAATGCAAACTGGATGAGGATCCATGTGATGAAAGTGATGGCGGTGGCGTAAGTGAATGTCCTGGAGTTTGGCTTGGCAGAGGCATGCCTATTGGACTTGGAGAGGAGGAAAATCCCAGACTATTGTAAAATGGTTGCCCTATGGGTGCTAGGCTGCTACTAGATCTTTTGTACAAGTCAGAGCTAGTAGATAGAGACTCTCTCCTTGTGGCACTACTACTTGCAGAACTGCCAACTGAAGAAGAAATAAAAAAAACCCTAATTACATACAGTGTTAACTGAATAAAACCTACCCCAACTCTTGCTGGGCAATAACAGAAGTGATCACAATAATTATTTTTAGAAACATTATGGATAAGATAATTACTGTGATAACTACATATACACTAATGTATTAATCATAAAAGGGTATAAATGCACCCCAATAAAGTAACCAATACTTAACAGAGCAGTCATATGTTTCATTATTTCACACATATTTACCACTGACACATATGATTACTGTGCTTTAATACCCTGGTATGATTTATAAACCCTGGAATTCCAAATTGTCTGCATTAGGACATGCCAGAGATTAAAATCCAGTAAGGTAAAATTCTGGTAATACCCTAAATCTCTGGAACATGGTTCCTATACTTCAACTCAATGCTAAGAAAAGAATATCCTAATAAATGGAATATTAATACATTTCCTTCACCAATCATATTTGATGTGGCTTCTAGCTATATTTAAAACATAGCCCTTTAAGTCCATATTGGCCCGAATATCACTCAGTTGCAAAATATAGATAGCAGTTAACTCCTCATTGGTTTTCACACTATACATTCTCCCTTGTTCTCAACTAAATTACACAATATATATGAAAATACTGAATTTTCTTTCAGATTTTTTTTCCCTAAGAGACAAAATCTCACTTTATTGCCCTTTGTAGAGTGCTGCTGCGTCACAGCTCACAGCAACCTCCAGTTCCTGGGCTTAGGTGATTCTCTTGCTTTGGCCTCCCGAGTAGCTGGGACTACAGGCACCCGCCACAACGCCCGGCTATTTTTTTGTTGCAGTTTGGCTGGGGTCGGGTTCAACCCGCCACCCTCGGTATATGGGGCCGGTGCCCTATCTACTGAGCCACAGGCGCTGCCCTTTCTTTTAGATTAATAGCCCTCATTACTGTCATCACACTAAAGGTATGTTTTCACTTATCCCTCAAGACTCTTCCATTCCTTAAGATTCTATTACCGGCTTCATAGGCCCCTTTCTCAAGTGAAGACTGGCAAGGGTTTTTATTCCCTTAGACAATATACAATTTATTTCATAATCCTTATTGCACTTTATATCCAATTTTTTTACTTAGTCCCTAATTTACCCATTAATCTCTTAATCCTTTTCATTTTCATATTCCACAAAATCGCCAACAGACTCATATCATACTACCATGTAGGCCTTGGTGAGCTATGTCAACATTTAGCTGTTAATCAATACATATCTGGATAATCAAATCCTTTACCATATGTCTATAATGGCTATCCAAAACAGTCAATTATCAAGTCTCATTTAGAGCCCACATTTTCATCAAGTACATCTCCTTCCTATTTCTAACCACTTTTAACTGAGTGTCTTCTACATCTAAGAATTTCATATTATATTTCTTGCCAAACAAATTTGTTAAAGGCAAGCTCCATATTCGGACCAATATAGCAATTCTTTTCAAGGAATTTTAAAGCTTTTATTAAATCTTTGTTTTCCAATCACAAGGCATACATAAGTAGGTCATACAAGGTATAAAGGAAAAAAATTAAGGACAGTACATGATGCGTAGACCAAGTTAAGCTTATAATACAGATAGAAAACTTAATTATTTTCATTTTGGCAAATTCTATAAAGGGGAGGGGGAATAGGCCCATGCCATCTTATCAGGCAAAAGATTTTAATACTCTTCAATCTTTCAACCCAGCCAAGTTTCTGAAAGACTGATAGTGTTTATTGGAAAACTTCACATTTTAAGGTATCATGTAATCGGGAAATACTATGTAGCTATATGCATTTTAATGATAAAACAAATGTGAACACTAATATAATAGCTCCTCTTAAATTGGTTTTGGCAAAATTGTCAATATATGCTACGTAATTATGCTAATTTAAAAGGACACTGTCAAAGTGATTTATAAAATATGGCTATATTTTAAATTCCTATTTATTTCAAAAAACAAGTTAACTGACAAGGAAAGACAAAAAGCTCTTTAACAAGAGCAGCAGCATTATCATTCCCCTGGTAAATAACCAAAGAAACCAGTTTTGACACATGCAATATTATTTTCCTCCAAAAAGGAAAACCAAAGCCAAACATTTAAAAATAATTCAGAAATAACTTTAAACATAAAAAAGCTAGCTCTTTCGAGTTTTACTGTATGCCTAAATTATCTGCAACAATGACTATGAAACAGGATATGAAGTATATCTAAAGTATCTAAAAGGCCAGATAGACTGTTAATCATTCACTTTCTGGGTGAAAAAGGTTAAATTCGAAACCTTCAATTATAACAGCTCTTTTTAAATAATAGGTCACAGAGAGGATGCTTTAATATGGACCCTATATTACAATGGGTAAGCTTCCTGAACAACTGTCTTATGATGTAGGGTGTTTAATGCTGTTAAACATTAATAATTTCATCATAGAGGCATGAGAATGACTATGTGTATGCACACAAGGACACAACCATATTTTATCTTAGATTTCCTCTAAGTGTATAACTGCCATAATGTGCAATGGCAGTGGGCAGATTTGTTCTAAGAGTGCATATGTGTGGCACTTGAATGAACTCTCACAAAACATCCAAGAGGAGGGAGAAGATGATATGGATTATTGGCATTCAGGAGTGGCAATCACTAAAGCCATCTAAAGCAAGGTAAAAATGAATCTTTTTCTAGACTGGAAGTCAGAACTGAGCAAGTAATGCTTAAATAAGGGAGGCATGAAATCAATTTGGGGGGAAAAAGTCATCTGGAGGAGACAAAATGTTCATGCCAACCAGTTCCTACTGTGCAAGAAATAGTCTTACTAAGAGACGAATGGGGATTTGGAAGAAGAATTGAATAGGGGAGGTCCTATAAATCTGTATTAGATGTCAATGACATAGTACACTAGAAAAAGGAACATGGGGTTTACTAAAGCTCTATTTTTCCTGGATTATTTAAAGTCTACAATCTATAGTTTAGAAACTAGTTATTCCCACAAAGTTTGTTTTTATTTGTTCTCTTTTCTTCAGAATATTCAGGATTCTTTGGGGATTTCCCCAAATTTGTCCCAATTGTGTTAGAGACAAAGGAATCAGTCCTATGGGCAGTGTGTGAACTGAACATAAAAATGTGAAATGAAAAAATTCAGGAAAATTAAAAGATTTAACACAATCTTCATGTTCACTGCATTTTTCCCTCAGAAGTTCTTGTGCCCATTTTTTAGGTAATTTTGTGTTAGGCAAGTATGACATTTTTCTTGTTATATTTCATTGTAACAAAAAAAAAATTTCTGTCTCTAATAGTTTATGTTATAAACTTTACAGCTATTCTAGCCCATTCCTTCAACAAATGTAAACGGAAGAAGTTCAGAAGATACTTCCTTAGAAAACTGGCAAGCATGGTTAATAATGACTGGTTTATGTTAGTTTTGCCATTTTCCTTACCAGAATAGAATTTAATTTAATGGGGTAGGAAAACAGATGAGAAGCAGATATTAAGGATTCTAAAATGTTATGGTAAAGAAATAAAGAAAATCTCTTGAGTTCCAAATAATTAACTTCGCCCTATTAAAGGCTGCCAATTGTACCAATAGAACTACATAAGCTGGTTTCCCTAATGTTTTATACTCTGGGAGCCTCAGAGAATATATAAGGTATGTCAACATGGAGGAAATGTGGGCTTCTTCTTTCACATAGTTCTTTCTCACTCACAACATCTAGAAACCAGTTCATAAGGTCAACTGTTTGAGAAGCTATTTTAAACTTTTGATTTGTAAGTATTATGTAAAGCTATGTGAATATTCCTTTAAAGTGAATTTTTAGTGACAAAGGAGAAATTATTATCTAAAATAAAGATAAGCATACTGGTTATTTCTTAGGGGCTTCTATTAAGAGCATTTTATTACATAAATATATATACATACACATATATCTTTTAAAATAGATTATGCCAAATAAAACCATAATGAATTACAAGCATTGAGTAATGAATCATCTGATAAAACACCAAAAATTTAAGATGTCAAAGTATTCACCTTCTCAAACACTAAGAATGAGGAAGAGCTAATAATTTGCATACAATATACCGATCCAAACAAACCTTACTGAAACAAAAACTCCAGTAATAAATTCTTATTAATAAATTTCAGGGGGGAAAAGGAAATTATTATATTTGAGTAAAAGATGGGCTTCCTAAAATAAGTTAAAGGTTCATAAATGTTTAAAAGATTTGTAGGAAATACTTTTTCTTCTACAAAATTAAACAATTCAATATTTCATTCCTGTTTTCCTATACTATGCGCTATCATTGTTTATTTTAATATTAAAAACACATATACTTTATGTGCACTTATCAGAGTACACCCATCTTAAAAACAAACTTACCTGATGAACCAAATCCACTGAGGGCTGAGCCTATGGCAGCACCCAAAGAACTACCACTTCCAAAGCCAAGAGATGTACTTCCAGGCTGACCAGGTCCATGAGAAAATAAAGAACTGCTCTGGGAGCTATTAGTCAAAGAGCTGCCCCCATAAAACGAATTAGATTGCAGATTAGTGCTTGGCTGCTGTTGCTGCTGCTGCTGTGGTGGCTGAGTGCCAATTGGTCGAAACAGACCATTTGTGCTGCCTGTAAGACTATTTGCAGTTCCTCCAGCCGCTGCTGCTGCTGCTGTAAAAATAAAAAACAAAAATCACAATTATGTCTTTAAAAACTATACAGAAAACTGTTTCATATTTTTAAAATCTTATATCCACACCAGAAAAATAGGATCCTAAAACTGTCAGTTACACTTACCAGCTTGTGCTGCTGCTGAACTAATTAGAACAGGTGTTGGAGCCATTAATCGAACTGGAGCGCCAAGGCCAGTTCTTGCTCCAGGGCCAACCACTAAGGCACCAGTCTGATCGTAATAGGCAGTTGGGGCTAGTACTTGATAGCCTAGAGAACATTAAAATAAATGTTTACTAATAAAAACATGCATATTTACTTCCCCCTACATTTGTATTTTTTTCAACTAGAAAACACAGCTTATATACTATTACTATAACCCCTTAAATAGTAATGGCATGAAAGTTGAAAGGCTTTAATATATGAAAAAAAAAATGTCACTTTGTCCTCTAAATTTTAATAAAGATATATGTGACGGAGATGTCTTTCACTTGCCACAAAATGGAAAGGTATTTTCCTTATAGAGATTACAGGCTATCAGCTCAGCGCTCATAGCTCAGTGAGTAGGGTACTGGCCACATACACTGAAGCTAGCAGGTTCGAGCCCAGCCTGGACCTGCTAAAACAACAATGACAATTGAGACCAAAAAATAGTTGGGCATTGTGGCAAGCCCAGGTAGTTCCCACTACCTGGGAGGCCAAAGCAAGAGAATCTCAAGAGTTGGAGGTTGCTGTGAGCTGTGACATCACAGCACTCTACCAAATGTGACATAGTGAGACTCTGTCTCAAAAAAAAAGAAATTACAGGTTATCAAGAGCTGATTATAAAAAAAATCAAAACAGTCAGTGCTGAGATAGACTGGGGGGAGTGAAGCAGAATACTATTAGAAATGTTTACTATGCAATTTCAGTAAAGTTCTAAATCATGTGCCTTATTACCAGCAATCTCTTAAGATATTCATTTCTAAGTACCTCTTTAAAAACTTAAATGATTTAAACAGATACCTTAAAATTATCAGGTAACAATCTCTTTGTAAATGTTCTTGGCTAGAGTCTGAATAAAAATCATTCAAGCATTACTTTTATAGCAGACTTGAGTACAAGACAGATAACCAAATGTATTATTCAGACCTACAGGAGAGTGAAGTTTGCCTCTTTCCAGCCGTTCTCAATATGGATTCTTTATCTGCACCAAATAATACTAATGATTCAAGTGACTATTCTGTCACTCTCAACCTTCCTAATGCTGCAGCCCTTTAATACAGTTCCTGTGGGTTGTGACCCACAAGTTGAGAACTGCTGCTCTAGAGGTATAGGAGAGAAGCTAATATATATTCAGTGGAAATTTCAGAGCAGTAAGACTTAACTTTCTCCTGGAACTCAGGTTGAGAAAGGCTACCTTATATAGTGACAAGGACTCAGGCCCAATAGCCTAACAGCTACCTGCAAAAAATGTATTGCATACTTTCAGAAGTTTTCTGAAATACAGAATATACTGAAATATACTCCAACATCGATTTTTGAGTTTTATCTTCCTAAGGCTATGCTGAAGCAAAAGTCAAAGTAAAATCAGTCATAAAGCAGCGGAACAATTTTAGCACCTTCAAACACAGTAGGCTATATTCAGATGAAGTATAATAAATACTGTTGGGATACAATCTTCACCATTACAATTGATACTTGCATATGAAAAAGCTTTTTTTGTAAATACTGTAACTCTAAGAATAAACACTAACACACTGCTAATGAAACATTGACATTACTAGTAAATCTCAACCTGTAGATTGCCAGTCCATTAATTCTAAATGCTAGGACACATAAAAAATACTCTAGTTCAAACACATCATCACTGACTGAACATCTGAACTAAATAATAAACGTAATCCATTTGGATATCTGATTGCAAACAATCTACTGACAAACAGCACTTAACTGCTACTTAAACAGTACACATCAATTACTCCAAAAGAAGAAATAGCCTAGTCAATTCATCCCGGAAGTCCATTCACTGATGGTCTAAATCTTTCTCTAATCCATTCTCTTGACTGTCAATATCCTGCCAATTAGATTTATGTGGCCTGCCCTCATTCCTTTGCCCCACACTTCTATAACTTATTCTTTTTTTTTTTTTTTTTTAGACGGAGCCACAAGCTATCCCCCTGGGTAGAGTGCCATGGTATCACAGCTCACAGCAACCTTCAACTCCTGGGCTCAAGCGAGTCTCCTGCATCAGCCTCCCAAGTAACTGGGACTACAAGTGCCCGCCACAATGCCTGGCCATTTTTTGGTTGCAGCCATCATTGTTGTTTGGCGGACGCGGGCTGGGGATTCGAACCCGCCACCTTAGGTGTATGTGGCTGGCACCTTATCTGCTTGAGCCACAGGCGCTGAGCCACTGAATTCATTTTCTTTTAAATTTTTTTTAGAGACAGAGTCTCACTTTACTGCCCTTGGTAGTAAGGTAACCTGGTATCACAGCTCACAGCAACCTCTAACTGTTGGGCTTAGGCGATTCTGTTACCTCAGCCTCCCAAGTAGCTGGGAATGCCTGGCTATTTTGTTGTTGCAGTTTGGCTGGGGCCAGGTTCAAATCCGCCACCTTGGGTATATGGGACCCGCACCCTACCCACTGAACCACAGGCACTGCCCTCAGTTCATTTTTCATGCATTCATGTATTTGAAAAATAGTATCAAAAATCTACCATTGCCAACTACTATTCTAAGTACTGGGATAAAGCTGAGAACAATAAAAAGAAATATCTTTATTCAGGAGGAGACTATTTTCTACTGTAAACAGAGACAAAAAATAAAATTGTTAAGACAGTTTTAAGTATTAAGAAGAGAGAAAATTATTAATGGATCAGAAGTATTGAGTGGCAAAAGTTGCATTGGTAATTTAAGTTGGGGGGTCATGAAGAATCTCAGTAACAAGATGACATGTGAGGAAAAAAAAAAAATCGAAAGGAATTTAGAGAACAAACCAAGCAAATGATCTGTAAAAAGAACACTTCAAATGGAAAAAAAAAATGAGCCAATTTGGCTAAATAAGAGACAGAGGAAAAAGACAGATAACAAGGCGTCAGCCTTCCTACAGGTTACTGTAAGAAACCAAGCTTTTACTCTGAACAGACAGGGAAACATCAGAGTGTCTTGAGGAGAGAACTGAGTTAATAATAAGCCTTTTTCTCCTTGCTACGGTGTGGAGAACAGACTCTATGAGGGGGAAAAAGCAGCAAGATGAAATATGGGCAGACAGACAGAAAGCAAATCCAAGTGTGATGTAATGATAACCCGGTTAAGAGTAGAAGAGGTGGAGATGGAAAGGTACTTGAATTCTGAGAGCCAGTAGGAGTTGATGAGATAGATGCAGAGCTATGGAGTGTGGGGTGCAATGGGGAGAAGAGTCAAGAATTGCTTCTATCTTTTGTCCTAAGTATTATGAAAAAGGAGTTACTGCTTACTGTGAAGTAAAGGTGAACACCACAATGCATTTATTTGGTCTAAATTTTGTAATTTATTAACATGAAAATTTTCCTAAAAGCTTGTGACTGTTTGTTTTTCTGATACAAGTTATTTGTACCTTCTCTCTTGTTTTTTTGGTGAACCTCTCAGAGGTTTATCAACTTAGTCTTTGAAATTAACTTTTGGGATAAATTACTCTGTTTTTGTATGTCTGTTGTTAAATTCATTCACATCAGCTCTTGCTTTATTATTTACTTCTACATTTCGGGCATTTATTCTCTTTAGTTTCCAGATGAATGCTTACCTCATTAACTTCCACTCTTCTTTTTCTAATGCATGCACTTAAGCCTACATATTCTGCCTTATTTCAATTGCACCCCACAAGCTTAAAAATGTAGGATTTTCACTGTAATTCAGTTTAAAAGTTTCTAATTTCCATTGCATTATATGTTTGTTACTAGGAAAGTCTGTGTGTAGTTACTTTGATGTATCAAGGGTGGGGAGAGAAAAGAGAGGTGGCAGAGAAGAATAAAATAAAAAGATAAGCCCCAGGGGATTAAAAAAACAAAAACAGGTCTGGTCCCCATACTTAAGAACTATAAAATCTAACACAGGAGGAAAGACACCATTTTCTTTTCTTTCTTTCTTTCTTTCTTTTTTTTTTGAGACAGAGCCTCAAGCTATCCCCCTGGGCAGAATGCTATGGCATCAAAGCTCACAGCAACCTCCAACTCCTGGGCTCAAGCGAGTCTCCTGCCTCAGCCTCCCAAGTAGCTGCGACCACAGGCACCCTCCACGACGCCCGGCTATTTTTGGTTGCAGCCATCATTGTTGTTTGGCGGGCCCAGGCTGGATTCAAACCTGCCACCTTAGGTGTATGTGGCTGGCGCCTTAGTCACTTGAGACACAGGCACACAGCCACCCCATTTTCTTAATTGCAAGATGCCACTTACTGTAAGACACAGAACCGATCTATTAACTTTCCTTCAGAGAAATAAACCTTTTTCTGCTTTAAAGACATTTTCCATTTTAAAACATGTTCAAGGTTAAGTGTTGTGGAACTGAAAAAATAATCCACAAATAGCTAAATGAAACGTAAGGTAGATTCAAGCTAAGGAAATTTAAGGAAGTACTAAGAAAGGTGCAAGTAATGTCCCATAACAAGGCAGAATGAGGAGTAACTTAATGAATAAGCACTGGGAAAGACTGGGGAAAGCATTAGGGAAGGAATCATATGAAAGGATGAGGATGAGCGTTTATCACAAAAATGTTTTAACTAGGCTCGGCGCCTGTGGCTCAAGCGGCTAAGGCACCAGCCACATACACCTAAGGTGGCGGGTTCGAATCCCCCGCCCGGCCCGCCAAACAACAAGGATGGCTGCAACCAAAAAATAGCCGGGCGTTGTGGCGGGCGCATGTAGTCCCAGCTACTTGGGAGGTTGAGGCAGGAGACTCGCTTGAGCCCAGGAGTTGGAGGTTGCTGTGAGCTGTGATGCCATAGCACTCTACCCAGGGGGATAGCTTGAGGCTCCGTCTGAAAAAAAAAAAAATGTTTTAACTAGATTTTTAAAAGCAAAAACAATATACCCCAATTCTGCCTAAAATTTATGAAAGTGTACTCTAAATTAAAGACGAACACAAGCTAGTAGAGGCATAAAGTGTGTCTGGAGAACAGTATGTGGTGTGGTGTGCTATATCACAGAACTACAGAGTTATTTGACAGATAAGGTTAAAAAGACAGTTTGGGGCCAGATAAAAGTATTAAAACTCAGAATAGTATAAACTGGTATGTATTTTTGAAAGGTACTTACCTAAAAGAAAAAAAGATGAAATGAACTAAAGAGATTAAAAATAAGACAGTGAGAGGATAAGCGAGAAGTCAAATAAGAACACCAGAGAAAAGAAATGAACATGAGATTAGTAACTGGCAAGTTATTAAATGTGGGGGCATAGGAGAAAACAAAAAGTTATAGATAACTTTGAGGTTGAAGCTAAGATTTTATAATTTTAGAAGATAGTAGAGTTATTAAGTGAAAACAAATAATAAGATAAACAAATTTGGAGAGATGAGCTCATTTTCTGGCACTTTCAGTTTGAGGAGAAGCTGGAACATTAATATGGTAATAATGTCTGGTACAAAAGTAGAAATGTGTTAGGTGTTTAGAATAGAATCTAAGATGCAGATCTATACTTATAGAGATGATAGCTGAAATGGTTAAAGTACATAGGCTCTCCTAAGGAATAAATGCAAAGTATCTCCATTTTTCCAATATTGAAACCAAAATTCAAAGAAGAAAGTAACTTGGCCAATGTCATACAACTGCTAACTGGTAGAAAATCACAGCTCTAACTCCAAAGCATGCAGTCATTAAGCCAGATTGTCTTTCATCTTTAAGGACATGCACAGAGGCAACAAAGACTGATAAAATAAAAAAGGTGGGAAAGCCAAGAGAGTAAAATCATCACAGAAGTTAATAGAAAGGAGTTACAGAGAGTTGTATCAGGGTGAAAAATAAGAGTCAGTAGGAGTTGTTGAGACCAGATGCAGAGATATGGAGTATAAGGTGCACTGAGAAACAAAAGAATGGAAGGAGGAAGTCCTACTTTGCAACTGTAATCAAGTAATATTAGAGAGGCTACAAAGGAATCATGGACAGAGTGTAAATTCTAACAAATAGTCTGTAAGGGAAGCACAACAGAGACAAAGCCTTACAAGATGAAGAGGCAGACTAACTTATCAACAGAGTTCACTGTTGAACAACAATGAAAGAAAGCAACAGCTTTCTCATGCAATGGAAAAAAAGAACAAACTGATTTTAAGGTCACAGTTGATAAAATTAATAGCAAAATGCTTTTATATTTTTAGTAAGATGTGAAATAAAATTATGAGCTCAATATAAAGAGAGTAAAGGTATTTATAAGAAGTTAATAACAGGACCAAAATCAAAGAGACTAGAAAGATCAGTATAGATACAGGCAACAGAAAATACACACAGGCACTTGTTGTTGAGACAGAGTCCCGCCCTACGCCCTGAGCAGAGTGCAATGGTGTCACAGCTCACTGCAACCTAAGACTAGGGCTATGGGCATCACACTGCCTTGGCTCGGGAAGCTGAACCTGCTGGGATTACAGGTGCTCGCTGTGATGTCTAGCTGGGCTTTTCATTTTTTTATGAGTTAGGATCTCACTCTCACTCAGCCAAGTCTAGAACTCCTGAGCTCAAGCAATTCTCCTCAGCCTCCCACAATGCTGAGATTACAGGCATTGAGCCAGTGCACCCGGCCAGGCACTCTCTTAATCCCATGTTCCACTGAGAAATTAGTTAAGCAGGAAGGACTCTTTGTACTCCAGCATGTCTTTTCCCCTGTAGTTAAAACCCCCAAACCCAAAACAGTCTTAGTGGCTTTCAAAATCCACCCAGTTAATTTCTTAAGTCCTGCCTCTTTGTGACTACAACTTTGGCTTCATAGTCCATTTCTCAAAAGGTTGCTTTTGACAAGGCCTCTACTCCACAATAGCTCCAGAACAATTGCTTCTAAGAAGCAAATAAATGACTAAAATAAAAAAAGAAAATATTGAGAATGCCTTCCAGAACAGCTGTATAAAATACTCTCTTATCCAGTGGACTAGACAACATGGTAAACCCAGATCTTAGAATTCCAAAGAGAACAGGGTGAATGCAATTGATATAGAAATCTTTAGGATTTCATACAGAAGTACAGTCTCACCACTAACAAAAATGGATTCTTCTTGGATAAAAGATTTATGGCCCGGCGCCTGTTGCACAGTGGTTACAGCGCCAGCCACATACACCAAAGTTGGCGGGTTCAAACCCAGCCCAGGCCAGTTAACCAACAATGACAACTGGAACAAAAAATAGCCGGGCCCCAGCTACTTAGGAGGCTGAGGCAAGAGAGTAGTCCCAGCTACTCCCAGCTACTTGGGAGGCTGAGGCAAGAGAATTGCTTAAGCCCATGAGTTTGAGGTTGCTGTGAGCTGTAATGCTACAGCACTCTACTGAGGGAGACATAGTGAGACTCTGTCTCAAAAGAAAAAAAAAAAGATTTAAATTTAAGACATGAAACAATAAAAATACTGGAACAGAGTGCAGAGAAAATTCTTGAAGATGTTGGCCTAGGTTAAGTATTTTATGAGGAAGACCCCCCTGGCAACTGAAGCAAAATAAATTACTGGGATTAGATCAAGCTAAAAAGCTTCTGCACAGCTAAAAGCACTACAACTAAAAGCACTACAACTAAAGCAAATGGACAGCCTTTGGAATGGGAGATTTTTCCACATTATGATTCTGACCCAGGTCTGATAACTAGAATCTACAGATAACTCAAATTAATCAGTAAGAATAAACAATCCCATTTCTTTGTGGGCAAGAGACTTGAACAGAGAATTTCTCTGAAGATGACAGATGAATGGCCAAAAAACACATGAAAAAATGCTCATCTTTAATCATCAGAAAAATGCAAATCAAAACCACTTTGAGATTATCACCTAACCCTAGTAAGAATAGCCCACATCACAAAGTCCCAAATCTGTAGATGCTGGCATGGATGTGGACAGATGGGAATACTTCTGTGGGATTGCAAGCTAATACAACCTTTATGGAAAGAAGTATGGAGAATCCTTAAGGAATTAAAAGTTGATCTTCCATTTGATCCCACAATTCCATTTCTAGGTATTTATCCAAAAGAACAAAAATCATTTTACCACAAAGACATTTGCACCAGAATGTTTTCTGCAACCCAATTCCTAATTGCCAAGTCATGGAAGCAACCCAAATGCCTATCAACCCATGAATGGATTAACAAATTGTGGTGTATGTATACAATTGAATACTAATCAGCCATTATAAAAGACGGAGACTTTACATCTTTTATGTTACATGGATGGAGTTGGAACATATCCTTCTTAGTAAAGTATCTTGAGAATGGGGGGAAAAATATGAACACACTCAATACTATTATGAAACACACATTCATACCAATGATAAAACACAAATATAGTCTAGGCAAAGGAAGGGGAGGTGGGAGGGCGATTGGTGGGAGGAGGGAGGGTATTTGGTGGAATCTTGCCTAAATGTGCACAATGCAAGGGTATATTTCAAAATAATTAAGAGTAAATTATAAATGTCTTACCACAGAAAAATAAGTGATGTGATAGTTATGTTAATCAGTTTAAGCATTCCACATTGTTTATCAAATCATCACATTATACCCTATAAAAACGTAGTTATGATTTAATAAAAAAAATTAAATTAAAAAAAGCATACTTAAAAAGCAAGTCTTCAGAAGTCTAGAGTATGGAAGTTATACCTTAGCTATTAAAATTCAAATGTAACCTTTGAATTTCACTTTAAAAACAAGTGCTGCTTTTTTGGCTTAAGGAAAAATACCTTACTTCCTTCAAAATAAAGTGGTAATTTTGTATCTACTTCCACAAAAACCTACTCTGTTGCCCTTTTCCAGAAGTTTTACAGCTGCACTGGCAGGAAGTTTATACTATAATTTTCTGTGCATTAGCCTTTCCAGTACTTTATAGATACTGTTGCTATTAAGTTAGAAATACGGCCAGTTTAAAGTGCTATAATAAAATACAGACAGTTTAAAGTGCCATAATAACCAAGTGTAAATAATGCTCAAAGTAAAAAACGTTAGCTGCAAACTTTTCAAGATTAACTAAACACCTATTCTTAAGAGACAGTAATGGCAAATAGGTTTTATCTTGCATGCCAACTCTAACCAACTGCTTTTATTTCTTAAAGCACTGCATTAAACATCCTGGCCTAGGCTCAGGCTGGAAAAATGCTTGGTTTACAGCAAAAACAAAATAAAAAATAACTGCTAAACTGAGAATTCTGATACATATTTGACACTCCTGTCACCAATTCTCACAAACAGTACTAATTTCAACTATTAGCATCTGAGTTCTAAATAATCTATTATAAGGTAGGCAAGATTTCAAATACAGTTCTTGATTTTTTTCACTCTCCAGGGTGGATGTCTACATTTAACATTTAAAATATATTCAAATTTCCACAAATAACCAATCAAATACCTGGCATGCCAGTAGCAAGACCCTGACCAAAAGCCAAAGTTGGATTTGCAGCTGCAGCTGCTGCAAGGGATTCTGCTTGCTGCCCTTGCTGACCCTGACTGGGAGTAAGAGGACGTTGACCAGCTCCAGCACGAAGAACCTACAAAAGTCAAAGGAATTTTTTAAACAGTAGTATTATAAGATAATAGCTTAAGTAAATTTATCTTCCACAAACGTGTGTATGTTACAAATAGCCATTTGATATTCTTTGAACAGTATATAAAATGGAATGTAGATTTAGCATGAAAAATTACAAATTACAGAAGAAGCTCGGTAAGGTGACTGATGAAAGGACTGTTAACAAACTAATCAACATAACAGAGGTGGTCAACATAAGAAACTAGGCCTGAGCTGATTATGTACATGTGGTACAAGTCTGATCTATGAAAATTTGGTCAACTTTAGGAGGTGGTAAACTCTGGAGGTTCTACTGTGCCGTAACATGAATAACACATTGACTGGCTCCTGACAACTATTAATCTATAACACAACATGAAGGTTGTTTATAGGTTGTTAAGTTCTAAGAGGTCTCTGGGTAAAAATTATTTCTAATACTTGTCACTCTTTAATTTACCAAGGTACTATCTAAAAAATAAGTTGAGAATAAGGCAAAAAGATGAAAGATTTTAAAAATTTACATTTTATTAAAATGATTTTCTACAGCTAAAAACAGAAAGACAGGAAGCTGAAGGGAATAAATTGTGAATTTATTATAAGACAGTGATGCAAAGTTAACATTTCAAATCAAACCAAGTTTTCAGAATTCAGAAGCACTGTAACAATGAATAAAAGCTGCTTTTAAATAAAAAACTTTCATGTAAAAAGACCCACAAAATCACACCAAAACAAGGTAAAAATTCTTACGGCTGGTCAAGTCTTACTACTTTATAATACATAGCTGTTACAGTGATTATACACAAAAATGATTAACATAAATCATTAATTTCTTTAATTTTTCCCAAGACAGAGTTTCATTATGTTGCCCTCGGTGGAGAGTACTGTGGCGTCACAGCTCACAGCAACCTCAAACTCTTGGGCTTAAGCGATTCTCTTGCCTCAGCCTCCCAAGTAGCTGGGACAACAGGCACTTGCCACAATACCCAGCTATTATTTTTTTGTTATAGTTGTCATTGTTTAGCAGGACTGGGCCGGGTTCAAACACGCCTGCCTTGGTGTATGTGGCCAGTGCCCTAATTTATTAACCTGTGGGCACCAAGCCCTTAATCACTAATTTCAAAAATATAAAATCAATCCAGGACAAGCAGGATTTACCCATGTGTGTACTGTTAATTTAATGTGACATTTTTATTTTCTTGAAGAGCAAGTTAATAAAAAGAAAATGTGACATTTTTATGGCTCCCCAAAGATAATAGATTTAAAAATAATCTCAATAGATGTATGGGGTCTAAAAAATTATTTCCTAAATAATGCTATTGTAATGATGAACAAGGATGGAGCCAAAGGACAGCTTCAACAGACAGTCAATATAATAAAGGAAATTCAGAATTAAGCTCAACTGCCAAGTAATCATTCCCACACTTGTCATTAAGCTGCATCTTTGAGATAAATATGATGAATGTGACAGCCAGAATTCTGGTATTTATCAGTATGAGTTTTTATAATTATCAAGATAGTTCTTTGAAAAAAATCTGACGGCTGGGCATGGTGGCTTACATCTGTAATCCTAGAACTTTGGAAGGCCAAGTTGGAAGGATTACTTGAGATCAGGAGTTCAAGACCAGCCTGAGGAAAAATAAGATGTGTCTCTACAAGAACTTCAAAAATTAGTTGGATATGGTGACATGCACCTGTAGTCCCAGTACTAAGGAGGCTGAGGCAGGAGGATCACTTTAACCCAAGAGTTTGAGGCTTCAGTGAGCTATGATGAGGCCACTGCACTCCAGCTTCAGTGACAAAGCAAGACCCTGTCAAAAGAAGGAAAGAAAGACGAGGAGGAAAGAAAAAAAAAAAAAAAAGAAAAAGGAAGGAAAAAGGTTAGAATTTTTTAAAAAAAATAATGAGGAAATAATGAAGGTTTTCCCTAACCTTAAGGGAAAGACATTCAGTTAAAAATTAAAATTATAATTTAAATACTTGAAGAAAAATGAAGGGACAATTACTTTGACAGGAATGTTAGTATACTAAGGAATGATGAAAAGAAATTTTTAAAATTGCTAGCTTTCTAGATACCAAAACAGAAATGAAATACAAACAAATCTATAAATATACACTATGTAATATGATGGGGATGGGGAACTCATGTAATAAATAACTTGTATAACAACTATATGCCAGGTACCATATTACATATTGAGGAAACAAAGACAATTCTGAAACACCAGGTGCTCCTAGAATTTCAAAGAATTTATCTGAATTTATTTAATTTCAAAGATATTCTTTAAAAAAGAAAGGCCTACCTGTTGCTGTCCAGGCTGAGCTTGTGATGCTGCTTGCTGATTGGCTGTGCTGTTTGCTGCAGCGGCAGCTTGTTGCTGAAATAAATTGGCTGGATACACCCCCCACGGAACTCCGTAATACTGAGGTGGAACTACTGCTGGACCTAAATAGCACCCCCCCACACAAAAGAAGTCATTATATTTTATAGCTACCATTAGATTATAAAAGGGGATGGGCATTAACACTTAGAGCGAAACATGTCCTTATAATCTTCTACCCACTTACACTTACTATATTGATTCTTTAGGGAGCAAGTGTCATTCAAGTATGGATTATTAAAGGTGTTCAGGAGTGACATCAGTCATCTTAAAGCAAAATTCAAGACTATCTATGGAGGACATTTAACCATCTATTCAATAGTTAGTGAATGTACATTTATGGGTCTGATACTGAAAAACAGATGCCACAAAACTGTTTTCTTATGCCCAATTTATCACTTCTCTCGTAAAAGAGTATTTTTTGACTATTTAAATGAATTATAGTTTTTTCAAAATCTATTGCTTTGCAATCTGTAACACAAAACTAGGAAACATTCAAGGCACCAGGCTTACAACAACAGTGTTTGAATGGTAAACTTTAAATTAAAAAATATTATTCATATTTCAAACAGCACTAGTCACAATTCTTGCAAAACAATTCAAAATCATATTAAAACAAATGAGATATCAATAAGACTAGTGAGTCAAGACAAAGAACTAGATAATGTAAGAAGAGAGAAAAGCAGAAGAAAGCAAACTAGGAAAATGAGAATGATTGGTTCCCCCTCTATTTAAGATAATACTTGATTCATGGAAAACAGTATTATATGTAATAACCCTACTATTAAAACAATAAAGAAATTAAACCTAATCAATCTAAAATGTAACATAATTCCTAATACAATAGATATGCCCTAAATTCTTATCAGTGAAAGTTTAAGATATCTTAATTTGTGTATCTGATTAAGTCAAGCTCTTGATTTCGCTTAGTTTTGGAAGAAAATAAAGCCCAGTGTATTTGACTGAATCACTAAAATATTATAAAAGCTTTATGCCAGGGGTGGTGGCTTACACCTGTAACTTTGTGAGGCTGAAGGGGGAGGATCATCTGAGGCCAGCCTGAGCAACACTACAGAACATCACCTCAGAAAGGAGGGGTTTTTTTGTTTTGTTTTTAAATTAGGTGGCATGGTGGCTCATGTCATTAATCCTGGCACTTTTGGAGGCAAAGGCAGGAGGACTGTTTGAGTTCAGGAGTTCAAGATCAACCTCAGCAAGAGCAAGACCCCCATCTCCACCAAAAAACAGAAACATTGTCTAGGGGAGGTAGTATAGGTTGTAGTCTCAGCTATTGAGGAGGCTGAGGCAAGAGGACCACTTGAGCCTAGGAGTTTGAGGTTGCAGTGAGCTATAATGATGCTACTTGCACTCTAGTCAAAGGTGATAGAGACCCTCAAAAAAAAAGAAAAAAAGCTTTTAAAATTTAAAGGGAAACATATTTCTGAAGATAATGCTAAAAAAGAGGTGATGAAGATAGGATACACTGTAAAAACAATAACTTGCTAGTGAGACATTTACCTTAAACCTCACTGTCCACCACTTGCAGCTACTGAAAAACTAAAAGGTAGATAGCTCCAAACTGAAATGTACTGTATTTACTATATACAGGATTTTAATGACTTAGCATTAAAAAGGGGGGGGGGGAAGCTATCTATTAAAATGCTGACAAAACATTAATATTTTGTATGTGTTTGGCCAAACCAAACGTATCATTAAAATTAACTTAATCTGTTTTTCTTTTACAATACAACTACTAGAAAATTTTAAATTACATTTTCTGGCTTACATTGTATTTCTACTGGACCACACTGGTGTTAGAAAGCTCATCATCCCCAAACTAAAAGATTCTCTTAAAGTTGCTTCTTTCAGTCCCACAGGTTAACGGTTACCTGTATATATAGTACCAGTACTCTACGTACTAACAGCCAGTTAAATAGCATCAGAAAAGGTCACGTTTTCATGGAATCACATGCCAATCTATACCAAAGGCTATTTAATATGACAATTTAGGGCTAACTATTGAACAACAATTTGAAATTAACTCCCCCTCCTCACTTTTTAAAACATGATCTTGAATTTAAAAGTCCCCAAACTCCAAGGAAAAGACTGACTGTTCTATAATACCAGAAGTTGATTTAAAACTGTCTGATTAATGACAATCATCTCAATGAAGACATCCCCCTGAAAGCCAAAGTATCAGTGCCAGCCTCAAGTTTTTAGCAGGCCCAGGCTGGGTTCAAACTTGCCAGCTATGGTATATGTGGCCAGTGTCCTAGCCGCTGAGCCAGCCTTAACTTTTTAAAGCCACTCACCCAGCAGATACATTTCAGTGAATACAATTCTAAGGCTGACATAAACCCATTCTTAACCATATAACCAACACAAACTACACCGAGACTAATTTAACTCTGTAGCCAACTTAACCCAAAACAAACTAACAACCCTAATTAAGACCAGCAAATTGCTTTCCTCAGTAAGACTGTGTCTGATTAGCACATAACTTAAGCTTGGGTAAGCAGTAAATTCAGCTTTGATTTTTACTTCAGAACCTGAGTGGTGGTCCCAGGCTTTTACTGTTACTAATAAGTTCTTTTGACTCTAACGTAAACTTTTCTATCCTCCAGGATGCTTGCACATTTGAACAATGCTCAAGAAACTTTTTAGAGGCCAGGTGCAGTGGCTCACACTTGAAATCTAGCTCTCTGGAAGGACAAGGCTGGCGTATTGAGCTTAGGAGTTAAAGACCAGCCAAAGCAAGAGTGAGACCCTGGCTCTACTAAAAATAGAAAAAAAAAGAACTAGCTGGGTGTTGTGGCAGCTAGTTGTAGTCCCAGCTACTTGGGAAGCTGAAGCAAGAGGATCACTCAAACCCAGGAGTTTGAGGTTGCTGTGAGCTATGATGCCATAGCACTCTACCCAGGACAACAGAGTAAGACTGGCTCAAAACAAAAACAAAAACAAAAAAAAGAAAAGAAAAAAGAAATAAAATAAAAATACCCCACACTTTTTAAGATACACATTTTCTTAGGATTGCTGAAGGTCTTTATATCTTAGGCTATCTCTGACCTAGCTATTCACACAACTTACCTCCAATTTATTTTCTAAGAAATTACTTAGCATGTCTTTCAGAGTAATGGGATTCATGGCTGAAAACGTAAGATTTCTAAGACTATAAAACTGAAATACGAGCCAATGTAGTATAGGAGGAAGAGTTATCACTTAAGCTTTCTCTTGTAGCATTGCAGTTGAAAAGTAACTCCCTGGAAACTTTTGATTCATTTTGGATAATGCTTCAGAATTTCCTAGAAATTTCAAGTTGTTTGAACAGATAAAAATAAAGCTTACACCAAAATTAAAACTAAATCCATAAAAAGCAACAAGGATGAACAGTAAGTTACCTGCTAATGTTGCTGCTGCAGCCAATCCCGCTGCAGTATACGGATCGGTCCCTGGAGGAGCAGCACTAATAATATATGGATTTGGCACAAATGCAGCTGGAGCAAGGCCTGCTGAGAATACACCAGCTGCATTTAAAAGGGGGAAGAAATAATGAATAAAAAATATAAAATATGGCTTTCCTCATTAGATAAAAAAACATTTCTACTTTGAATCTGGAGTGGAGTTGGAGAGGAGACAATAGTTCAAATTTTTACTCTGTAATTCTAGCAGACACTCAAGAGTTAGAACTACTATAATTCAACAGTAGTTTTTCATTCAATCTTTATTGTGACATACTATGAGCTAGGAATTCAACAGTGAGGAAGGATATAAATCTCTCATAAAGCACTCTAGGTGAAAAAAACGGGTAAATGAGCAATTAGAATATAATACAACAAGCACTATGGACACAGGTAGGAGATAATAACAAACTCTGGAAGGAGGTGGAACAGATGGGGTATGGTGTAAGATAAAATAAACAGAATGAAGACCAATGAAGAGCTTCCAGACCGATATTAACTAGTCTGAACTTTATCCCCTGCGGGCAATAGGGAACCAAGAAAGAGCTTAAGAGAGAGTGACTTTAAGCCCACTTCTGAGTACTATACCCATATGGATTTAGTGAAAGCTAAGCAAGATTTTAAAATTTTACATCTGTATTACTCATTAAAGAAAGAAGTAATTCCTAGGTATTGAGGAATGACTGTATAGACTTTTCAACTATAGTTACTGAAAAAAATTACTTTGAACATATGTTGCCAGGACTCTTTTGGAAAGTAATTGAGGCAAGTGGAAGATAAGAAAATCATGACCAAAGCCAGGTGCAGTGGCTCATGCTTATAAACCTAGTGAACTGGGAGGTCAAGCGAGATGACTGCTTGAGGCAAGAGTTTAAAACCAGCCTGGGCAACATAGTGAGAACTGTCTCTACAAAAATAAATTAGCCAGGCCTGGTGGCACTACTTGGAAGTATGAAGTAGGAGGAGTGCTTGAACCTAGGATTCAAGGTTGCAGGGAACTATGATTGCAAAACTGCACACCCCAGCCTGGGCAATAGAATGAGATTATGTCTCTAAACAAAAACAAAACAAATCTTAAGTAAGAATTTATTAAAGTTAAAGGAGACCAAAAAGATTCAAGTTTAAAAGAGAATTAAGGATGCCTGGGAATTTGGGAGGTCCAAGGCTTGAGCTCAGTTCAAGATCAGCCTGAGCAAGAACAAGATTCTGTTTCTACTAAAAATAGAAAAATTAGCCAGGTACAGTGGTGGGTGCCTGTAGTCCCAGTTATTTAGGAGGCGAAGATCACTTGAACCCAGGACTTCAAGGGTGCTGTGATGTGTTAGGCTGATGCCATGGCATTTTCAGCTTGGGCAACAGAATTAGACTGTCTCAAAAATAAGAGGGGAGGAGAGAAAATTAAGGAGGGGGAATAACGTGAATGTGGACCTTAAGTAATTTTAAAAAATATTCAAAAGGAGAATATATCTTGAAGTCTAAGATTTAAAATCAAGATTCAGAAAATATCTTCAAACTATATTATAGTAACTTTCCATGTTTTTGACTGTGATCCATAATATGTAATACATCTCACATCAACCTAGAATCCACACATTGTACACATATGCCACAAAGAAGTCTTACAGAAAAAAAAAAATTATCCTTATGAAATTTTTTTTTTTGAGACAGAGCCTCAAGCTGTCCCCCTGGGTAGAGTGCTGTGGCATCACAGCTCACAGCAACCTCCAACTCCTGGGCTCATGTGAGTCTCCTGCCTTAGCCTCCCAAGTAGCTGGGACCACAGGCACCCGCCACAACGCCCGGCTATTTTTTTGGTTACAGCCGTCATTATTGTTTGGCGGGCCTGGGCTGGATTTGAACCCACCACCTTAGGTGTATGTGGCTGGCGCCTTAGCCACTTGAGCCACAGGTGCCAAGCCATGAAATTTTAATGTACTCTATATTGTACTCAGTTTTTTTACTTATCAATATCTATAATCTATTTAATTTTTAAAAATACAGATCATAACACACAAATTTGATTTCATGCCAAGAGCCATTTGAAAAATCTGCTTCTCATAAAGGAAATTAAATTAACTTTGAGTTCAATAGAAACTCTTGCATTTTAAAGTTATTTGCTCAGTTACATTCTAAACTATTCCCTAGGTCAAAGGTTTCAATATTGCCAATAGGGGCCAGGCACAGTGGCTCAGAGTTACATTCTAAACTAGAAAGGTTTCAATATTGCTATCAGAGGTCGGGCTGGGTGGCTCATGCCTGTAATTCTAGCACTCTGGGAGGCTGAGGCACGTGGATTGCCTGAGCTCCCAGTTCCAGACCAGCCAGAGCAAGAGCAAGTCTCTAAAAATAGCTAGGCATTATGGCGGGGCCTGTAGTCCCAGCTACTTGGGAGACTGAGGCAAGAGAATCACTGTAGCCCTGGAGTTTGAGGTTGCTGTGAGCTGTGACGCTAGAGCACTCTACTGAGGGTGACAAAGCAAGACTCTATCTCAAAGAAAAAAAGAAAGACTGCTATCAAGTTTATTGATCATGAATTATCTTCATGACAAAAATAGAAAATAATATATTAGTATTCATGTTCTCCTTATACAATTACTAAGTCTAAAAGCCAAGATATAATTTTTTAATATTTTATGGCTTTTTGATAAGAGATTGTTTAAGCTTCAAATACAATTAGAGTATATAAAGTGCAAACTGAAGTATTCATGTAATCTTTGGTGATACATTGGTTTGCCTCCTCAATTTTTAAATACACTCATTTTACATTCTAATCTATAATGATATTTTAATATGCTTTTTCCACTTATCAATTAATCAAAGACTTCTGTCTACAGATACATATCTAGCTCACTCTTTTTAATGGCTATATGTGTTTTTTCTTTTTTGGCTGTATGTGTTCTATAGAGAAGGAATATGACTTAATCAGTCCTGTGAGATATTTAAATACATATGTGGATGGCTCACAATTTTCTTCTATAAATAATAGTGTTATTACTTTTTAACTATACCAATATCTGCATTATAATAGCCTTAAGAAAATTCACTTAAATAGGCAAAAACAAATTCTTTTTTTTTTTTTTTAAAGAAATCATTTTATTGTTGTAGTTTTTTTTTTTTTTTGGCAGGGGCTGGGTTTGAACCCAGCACCTCTGGCATATGGGGCTGGCGCCCTACTCTTTGAGCCACAGGCACCACCCCGCAAAAACAAATTCTTGATCCACCAGGAAGACTATACCCAATTTACATTCCTACCAAGAGGATGTAAATCACACTCCTGCCAAACAGGACATTACACTGGTCAGGTGCAGTGGCTCATGCCTATAATCCTGGCACTATAGTAAGCTGAGGAGGATGGATCCTTTGAGCTCACAAGTTCCAGACCATCCTGAGCAAGAAGAGACCCCTATCTCTACTAAACAAAAAACCCCATAATCCCAGCTACTACTGAGGCTGAGGTAAGAGGATCACCTGAGTCCAAGAGTTTAAGGTTGCTGTGAGCTAGATGATGCCATGGCACTCTACCCAGGACAACCGAGTAAGACTCTGTTTAAGGGGGAGAGGAAAAAAAAAAAAAAAAAAACCAAAACAGAACATTATCAAACTTTTAAAATAGTTAAAAATCGGATAGGCAAAGTAAAGCTTTTCTTCTCTTTTGAGATAGTTTTACTATATATCACAGCTCACAGCAACCTCAAACCCTTGGGCTCCGGCAATTTCTTGCCTCAGCCTCAAGTAACTGAGACTATAGGCACCCACCACAATGCCTGGCTACTTCTCGTTTCAGTTGTCATTGTTGTTTTTTAGCAAGCCTGGGCTGTGTTCAAATCCTGGTGTATGTGGCTGGCAACCTACCCACTGAGCTATGGGTGCTGCCCCACATATTAATTTAGGGAGCAATGAAATCTTTACATATTTTCTTTAAAAAGCATGTTTCCAAAGGATTTGATGCTTTTCTCTTGGAAAAGATGTACTTCTATGATCTTCCAAGCTTCGACTTGTATAGACAGCATCACTATCAAACTCTGTCACTCTAACTTCGTATTTTTTAACACTCAACTTTGCAGGATGACCTCAGAGTTATTATGTGGATTGAGTAAGGGATTTGAAATCAATGTATTAAATGTCTCCCTGGGATACTGGGTTGTTTAAAACTCAGTTCTAAACATGTGGCCTTGACGTTTATCTCCAATTGGAAGTTTAGTTGTTTTTTTTTTTTGGAAACAGTCTCATTATGTTGCCCTTGGTAGAATGCCATGGTATTACAGCTCACAGCAACCTCAAACTCCTGGGCTCGAGTGACTCTGGTCTCAGCCTCCCAAGCAGCCTGGGACTACAGGCACCAGCCACAACACCAGGCTATTTTTAGAAATTGGGTCTCACTCTTGCTCAAGCTGGTCTTGAACTCCTGAGCTTAAGCAATCCCCCCATCCTCCCAAAAAGCTAGGATTACAGGTGTGAGACACTGGCCACTGTGCCTGGCTCAACTGGCAATTTTAAAATAGGCCTTTTAGCTGTATAATAGTGCTTGCCACCACCATCAAAAAAACCTGGTGTTCGGGGTGGTGCCTGTGGCTCAAAGGAGTAGAGCGCCAGCCCCATATGCCAGAGGTGACGGGTTCAAACCCAGCCGAGGTCAAAATAAATAAATAAACAACTGCAAAAAAAGCAAAAAACACCTGGTGTTCTAATGCCAAATTACATATGAGGCAGTTACTGGCATGTCTTTGCTGGCCCTGTAAAATGTCAAGAAGACAGGCTGTCAGAATAAGAAGGCTGTGTTGATGGTTGGGAGTCACTTTGTCTTGGATAAAAAAGACTGATTATCAATAAGGAATATACTACTAACTGTGGAACCAAGATTGAAAAATTGGGTTAAAGAAATTATACTTTCAAAGAAATACTTCGGTTTTTCAAGTTTATTTGCATCAAGCTGTCCAGAGGGTTTCACAGAGAAGTTCTGCCACTTCTTTAAAGATTATGTCCAAGGCCTATAATTCCAGCACTTTGGGAGGATGAGGCAGGTAGATCACTCGAGCTCATGAGTTTGAGACCAGCCTGAGCAAGAACAAGACCTCATCTCTAAAAATAGCCTAGTGTTGTGGCAGACACCTTTACAACCAGCTACTTGGGAGGCTGAGGCAAGAGAATCGCTTGAGCCCAAGAGTCTGAGGTTGCTGGGAGCTCTACCCAAGAGCGAGCAGGTGAGACTCTGTCTCAAAAAACTGAAATTAAAAAATAAAGATTATGTGAATCATCTCTAAAATCCTTTTTATAAAGTATCTTGACACCAAAACCTGACAAAACTGCAAATATATATATGTACACAAACCAAGAGACTACTTTCATGTACTGACATAAAAATCCTAAATAAAACACCAGCAAACTAAAAGTACATACCAAAAGAATAAAAATGAAGTCTTTTTTATTCCAAGAATAAAGGCATAATTATTTAAAAAAAAAAAAAAAAAA